TGGTGACTTCCATTGTTTGGGCACCAAGGTCTGATTTTTCAGGAGTTTTGTCTTTGGTACACTTGAAATTGCCTGAGGTCTTCCTTTGGTTTTTGCTCATTTGTGACAGATCTCTTGTTTTTCTCTTTAGTTCTGTTTTTCAGTGTCAGTGGGAGAGACTTTCCCTTCTGATGTTTGCTCAGGCCTCTATTCTTTCCTGATCCAGGCTCTGTATTTGTTCTACTTTGAAATAGGATGGTGGATGGGTAGCTTTGCTGTCTCTTGTAGTTTTCAAAATTTGAATAAAGTGGAGGATGGGGCACTAGGAATCAGATACCACTTGCAAATTAAAATGTTCACTTATTGTGGTATGTGTTCCCTGGCACCCACTACCCACTACCACTCTATATGACAATGCAAAGCAGAAACCATTGCAAAAGCAATTGAACACATACACATACACGCAAAAACAAACACTGATCTTGTTAGAGTTCTTCCTCCTCCTTTTCTGGTCACACCCTTTGTCTTGTGGTGGATCAGGGTAGGGGGTTGGGCGCCTGGAAGTCAGCACTCGTCAGGTCTCTCTGAAGTTTGTGCTCTCAGGATATTCCCTTTTGGCCACGATCAAGCCCTGAGTAGTTGATCTGCCAGTCACAGAGATCTGAACTATTGGTCCTTAACGAGCAAGGTGGAGCACTTTCCTGCTCCGCCTTCAATATGGTGGTGGGGTGCCTCTCTTGTCCTCTTCTGTGGGAACTTGCCTCTGGACTCCGTCTGCAGCCCCTTCCAGTGCCCTGCAAGGTGCTAAAGTGATGAGGCAAGGTCGGGAGCAGTCTCTCTCCCAACCTTGCTTCAATGGTGAGGGAGCGCTTGAGGCAATAGTGTCTCCCTGCTGCTTTTCCAAAGGAAAACTTCTGCCCGTTTTGAAAAAATAATGATCCTCTGCTTTTGCGACCTGGGAAGAGCCAGGGACAAAGTAGAGAAGCTGCAGCACCTGCTGTTGCACAAGGGGCCTGGCCACCCGCTCACGAGCCCCACTTAGACAGTCTCTCCCAGTGTTTTCTTGCCAAGGAGGGCTGTTGATTTAAAAAAAAAAAAAAGAAAGAAAAGAAAGAGGAAATGGTGCTCAGCTTCTGTATCCCGGGAATCGCTAGAGTCCAAGCCCAGACGCTGTGGTACCAGCCACTGCACCAGGAGAGCCCTGGCTGCTAGCTCCCTAGCTCTCACTCAGTTAACCACTCACACGCCCACTTGCTCACCAGCATGTACACAAAATTTTCCATACACACACTCACTCACACGGGGACTTGCATAGTCCAACTGGCTCGGCTGCCATCTTCCCCACCTCCTGTCATGGTTGTTATAAGGAAGTATTGAGTTGGGATTGAGGTGCTGAGAGTTGAAATTTTGCAGAAACCTAAAGAAATTAGTTTTATCTGAACTTCAAAACCACATTCTTCCATCTCAACAACTTGCACTGTGCATTCTGACCTCTGTCTCTCTGTCTCTCTCGCTCTCTCTCTCTGTTTCCCTCTTTTCCTGAAGTTGTTTTGTGATGCAGTGCTTTATCGGAAAGGACCTTCCTTCTGAAATAGTGGAATATTGAGAAAGGAAGATACTTAAAGATTTTTTAAGTTTATAGATTTAGCATGCTAGACATACCAACAAGACAGAATTCTATAGATTCTTGACAACTTCTGATGGTATTTGAGGAAGTGGCATTGTCTTTGGTTTGGATGTTTTCCTCCAGTCTGGCCTTGTTAGCCATATTTGCATAGTGGTTGTCTTGGTTTGCTCAGTGGGTTTTGTGCCTATGGGTAAAGAAAACTTTGGGTTCTAAGTAACTCTTTTTTTTTTTTTTTTTTGAGTTGGAGTCTCTCACTCTGTTGCTCAGGCTGGAGTGCAGTGGCACGCTCATGGCCACCGCAGCTTCCACCTGCTGGGCTCAGGTGATCTTTCTGCCTCAGCTTTCCAAGTAACTGGAACCACAGGCACACACCACCATGCCTGGCTGATTTTTTAATTTATTGTAGAGTAGCAACGTGGTTTCACTATGTTACTCAGGCTGGTCTCAAACTCCTGAGCTCAGGTAATCCTCTCGCCTCTGCCTCCCAAAGTGCTGTAATTATAGGTGTGAGCCACTGTGCCTGGCCTAAGAAACTCTTTTTTTTTCTTTTATTTGGAGTCTCACTTTGTCACCCAGGTTGGAGTGCAGTGGCATGCTCACAGCCAAACAGCCTTGTCCTGTTGGGCTCAGGCGATCCTTCCATCTCAGCCTTCCAAGTAGCTAGAACTACAGACATGCTACCACACCTGGCTAATTTTTTTGATTTATTGGAGAGACAAGGTCTCACCAAGTTGTCCAGGCTGGTCTCAAATCCCTGAACTCAGGCAATCCTCTTGCCTCAGCCTCTCAAAGTGCTGGGATTACAGGCTTCAGTCACTGTGCCCCAGCTCTAAGTAACCCTTATAAATGAATGTTTGTAACTACTGATTTCCTTCTTCACATGTGTGCAATAAAAAGGAGCATTGGCTCACTTCGCAGAATTGCAGATGAGAAAGTACTAGCTATGAGTCAGCTCTGGGCTCAAAATATTGCCTCCAGCATGTTTGAATGAACTACCTCCTTTTCCTTCATTGTGAAATGGATTGATAATGCCTGCCCCACCCAGATGTTGTGATAGTAACATGACCAATATTCAAAATGCTCTGTGCCCTTCACAGTTGTTGGTGCCCTCGACGACTGACTCTCCTTTCACACACTCATTTCCTGGGTGCCTAACAGGCCACATACAGCTGGGCTGCTGGACAGTGACTGACTGTTTCACCCTGCCCATCTTCTAACGCTTTTAATTGTTTTCAGAATATGGAGGAAAGTGGAAAATGCTTCATTACTTCGCTCAGCATTTCTTTGCACCACTGCTGCCAGTAGGCTTTGAGAATCAAAATGTGTTCCATGTGTATGGTGTGTCAGACCTTCACTCGGACTATACCACAACACTCACTGTAAGTTACCTGGAATTTTTTCTCAGAGAGAAGGAGACTTCTAGATTATTTCTTTAGTTGTTTTTGAAAAATAAAAGAAATTATTTGAAGTCAGAATGCATATACATAGGTTAAAACTCTGCCATTGGCCAAACCTGGTGCCTCAGCCTGTAATCCCAGCACTTTGGGAGGCTGAGGCGAGTGGATTGAGACCAGCCCGGGCAACTTGGTGAGCCCTCGTCTCTACAATAAATAAAAAAATTAGCCGGGCATGATAGTGTGCGCCTGTAGTTCCAGCTACTTGAAAGGCTGAGGCAGAAGGCTCACTGGAGCCCAGCGGGTGGCAGAGTAAGACTCCAACTCAAAAACAAAAACAAAAACAAAAACAAAAAAAACCAAAAAACTTTGCCATTTATTATGTGACCGTAAGCAAAACTTTTCATGTCTTGGTTATTCAGTTTCCTCTTCTGTGAAATTATACCCATCTATCTTCTTAAAGGATTTCTATAAGTAGTGAATAAAATAGCTAAATGAAAGCAAATTATATAAAGTGTCAAGTGCCACTTCTATGTAAGTTTGTTTATAATTATGAAAGGCTGGGAATAGTCCTAATGTTACAAAAAAAGTGGTTAAAAAATGGTATGTTAATGTGAAAATCAGTGAAACTGTTCAGAATGGGCATGTGGAAAAATAAATTTGTATTTAAAGCAAACAAGTATAAAAAAAAGGATAGAATCTCAAAGTCAGGGGTAGCTAGCTTGGAGGACCTGAATAACACTGAAATAGGTCACATTTATAGAATAATTACAATGGCCGGGCTCGGTGGCTCAGCCTATAATCCTACGCCTTTGGGAGCTTGAGGTGAGTGGATTGCCTGAGCCTGCGGGTTCGAGACCCGCCTGGGCAGCGAGACCTCATCTCTACAATAAATCAAAAAATTAGCCGGGCATGGTAGCGCATGCCTGTAATTCTGGCTACTTGGAAGGATCGCTGGAGGCCAGCAGGTCAAGGCTGCGGTGGCCGGGAGCAGCCACTGCACTCCAGTCTGGGCAACAGAGTGAGACTCCAACTGAAAAAAAAAAAAAAAAGGAATAATTACAATGTACCAGGTACTGCACCTTCCATTATTATTCTATATTTGAAGAAACGGAGACTGAAAAGTTGGGTCACTTAGTCACATAACTAGTACTTTGAGGGTCCAGCGTTAAAACCTAAGTTTCATAGTCTCTTTCAGTTTTCTGACTTTCAGCTATTATTGTTACTATTATTCTCTTAAAAAAAATAGTAACCAAAAATGCCTGTTTCTATTCTGTTTTCCATCTCCCTAGGTGCGAGTCCATACTTGGCACTCCCTGAAGCCTTTGTGCTCTCATGTGACTGGACCATTTGTGATGAAAGCAGGAGAGGCTGTTTGCCTCTATAAGGAGCCGGTGTCCTCATTACTCAGGAGATGTGGGAACTGTACACGGGAGGGCTGTGTGGTTTCCTTTTTCCTTTCAGCTGACCATAAACTCTTGAGCCCATCCAATTACCACTTCCTGTCTTCACTGAAGCAGGCCGTGGGGCTCCGCAAGGCACATATCACTGTAAGCACAGGTGGGGCAGTCCCTGTGACCTTGGGGAGCCCTCCTGCTCTTGGGGCCAGTGCCTTGCATCACACTGTTTACACATTCCCCCTTGGCACTGAGTTTTCCTAAGGCCTGAGAAAGACTGATTCCTTCCTAGTAGAAGCAAAGACCAAATGGTTTTTATTTCTGACCCAGGATTTGTCAGAGTGTTCTGTTACCACCACTCATTTTGTCCTATCACCCTTCCTTATTGGGCTGGGGCAGTGGTAGGAGAGGAGGTCAAGTCACCACCACTGACTGCACCTCGACTGACTTCCAGGCTCTGTTCTAGGTGCTTTATTGCATAGTTTCTGACTTTCACAACAACCTTGAAGTGGTATCATTCATGTTTTGCAAGGGAGAAAGCCAGTTTAGGAGGTGAAGCAACGGGCTCAAGGTCCTATAGCTGGGAGGCATTGGAGCCCAGTTGAAGCATTCTAATTTTGAATTTTCAAGTGGAATCTATTAATATTCCTCTTCTGTCTTTGATTTATTGCTTCAAATTAGCTCAATCATCAAATCTCTTTATGATTGCCAAGGGAAAAAATGGGATGATCAGGATGTGTTTTAAAAATTGTGCAGCTGGAGAATGTGGAACTTGCCTAGTTGACTGAAAACCTTTCCTTCCTTTCCCCCCTACACATAAGAATTGGAAATAAATTTGTCTTACACTTACTTCATTTAGAAGGATATTCCACATTTACTTTAGAAATAATCATATAAAGCACCTAGTCCTTGCGTTTTATTTGAAAGAGGCTTTACAATGGAAAAACATACTTTTTCCCAAATTAATAATGAAGTAGTAACCTAATAAAATCTAAGTTACCCATAACAACTGATGTGAAACATATCTGTAGGAAATGACATATGCACACATTTGTTCATTTGTTTGTTTATAACACAGAACCCTGAATGACACCATGCAGTGTATAAGGCTGAAGTGTAATTACTAAAATTACCCTTTGAACTTTTGTCACACATCATGTATAACGTGAGACCCCGCAGCGTGGCGTGTATGCATGTTGAGAAGCCATGTTGCATGACACATGCAGAGATTGAAAAACCAGGTGTAGGTTGGGCTTGGTGGCTCAGCCTGTAATCCCAGTACTTTGGGAGGCCAAGGCGAGTGGATTGCCTGAGCCTGCGTGTTCAAGACCAGCCCAGACAACTTAGTGAGACCTCGTTTCTACAATAAATAAAAAAATTATCTGGGCGTGGTATCGTGCACCTGTAGTTCCATACTTGGAAGGCTGAGGCGAAAGGATCACCTGAGCCCAGCAGGTAGAGGCTGCAGTGGCCAGGAGCATGCCACTGCCCTCCTGCCTGGATGACAGAGTGAGACTCCAACTCAAAAAATAAAATCAAACAAACAAACAAATAAATAAATAAATTAGTTGGGTGTGGTAGCACATGCCTGTACCTCCTACTACTTGGAAGGCTGAGGTGGAAGGATCGCCAAAGCCCAGCAGATAGACGTAAGGGTGGCCATGAGTGTGCCACTGCACTCCAACCTGGGTGACAGAGTGAGACTCCAACTCAAAAAAAAAAAAAAATGAAAAGAAAGAAAGAAAAACCAAGTGGCACTCAATTCCACACTCCTAAGAGAGGCTCACAAATCCTCACCTTCTGAGGACGGGCTCATCCTCATTCTGGACAGATGCTAATTAGCTAATTTAGTGGAATGGAGCCTACAGGATTCTTTTTCTCAGAAAGAAACATTAAAGAAGGACTTAGCAACAGGAGCCATGTCTGTGTCTTGGGCAGTGGTGAAAGCCTACATGGTTTAAACTGCACTTTCTCTTTTTGCTAATACTATGTGACATTCACACACATTAAAAATGCTAATAATGTCCCTGCATCATGGCTCATGCCTGTAATTCCATCATTTTGGGAGCCTGAGGCAGGAGGATAGCTTGAGCCCAGGAGTTCAAGACTAACCTGGGCAACATAGCAAGATTTCGTCTCTACAAAATTTTTTTTAAAAAATTGGGTGTGGTGTCACGCCCCTGTAGTCCCAGCTACTCATGAGGCTGAGACAGAAGGCTCACCTGAGCCCAGGAGGTCGAGGTCTCAGCGAGCTGTGATCTTGCCACTGCACTCCAGCCTTGGTGACAGTGAGACCCCCCCCAACTCAGAAAAAAATCTGAATGTGACTTTACTGTATTATGCAGTAAAAGAGAGAAACCCTAACAGTAGAGGCTTTGTAAATGTCTGGTGTCCGCTTTCTAGATCACTGGATCTTTTCCTTGAATGTTGGTTCCACACTGGCCTATGTAGCTATGTCCAGATATATCCTTTGAAAGTCATTTAAACCACCCAGCCCTTATGCAGAAATTTTCTTCTCTTGATAGTATTCTCAGAAAAACTGTAAAAGATAAAAAACTTTGAACTTCTTGTGAAATATTCTTAATAATTGGAGACTACATATGTCCTTGGCTTGAGATTACAATTTGGTAATTTTCCAAAGCATATAATCATTTTCCATGTATTATTATGTGTCTGAAACTATGCTTGGAATATGTGACTTTGGCAGTTGCAGGACCAAAGTTGCAGGAAATGCACTCCCTATTAGGCTCTCATAAACACTGATAGGAGGTAGCCAGGCTCAGTGGCTCACCCTGTATTCCCCCGCTTTGGGAGGCTGAGGTGAGTGGATTGCCTGAGCCCGCGGGTTCGAGACCCACCTGGGCAACTTGACGAGACCTCATCTCTACAATAAATCAAAAAAAATTAGCCAGGCGTGGTAGTGCATGCCTGTAGTTCTGGCTACTTGGAAGGCTGAGGTGGAAGGATCGCCAGAGCCCAACAGGTTGAGGCTGCGGTGGCAGGGAGCATGCCACTGCACTCCAGTCTGGGCGACAGAGTGAGACTTCAACCTTCAACTCAGAAAAAAAAAATTTATAGGAGTTGGTTGTGTACAGAACTATATGGCTGTTTCTTTAGCCTTCACTTCATTTATTTTTTTCTTTTCCAGGCTTTCATCTCTCAGCAAGGTGACAAATTTGTTTTTGATCTGGAGACCTCAGCTGTCGCTCCCTTTGTTTGGTTGGATGTGGGCAGCATCCCAGGGAGATTTAGTGACAATGGTTTCCTCATGACCGAGAAGACACGGGCTGTATTATTTTACCCTTGGAAGCCCACAAGCAAGAGTGAGTTGGAGCAATCTTTTCGTGTGACCTCCCTGACAGATATTAACTGAGGGAATTTGGGTTGTATTTTCAGTTGACACTGGGAATGAAGCATTTCTAAAGCACCGACTGGAGAGGAAGGTACCAGAGACAAGTTGAAGAAACTGAGCAGGCATCTGCCTGCCACCAAGCATCTGCTCAATCACTCTGGGAAGAGTTTGTACAGTGAGCACTTTCAGGGGAGGCTATTTACTCAGGTGAAGCCCTCAAACAAGCCTGTGCCTCGTGCTCTTGAATTTTTTTTTTTTTTTTTGAGTAGGAGTCTCACTCTGTCACCTATGCTGGAGGGCAGTGGCATACTTTGCGCCACTGCAGCCTTGACCTGCTGGGCTCAGGTGATCCTTCCACCTTAGCCTTCCAAGCAGCTGGAACTACAGGCACACATCACCATGCCTGGCTAATTTTTTTATTATTTATTGTAGAGATGAGGTCTCACCAAGTTGCCCAGGCTGGCATCGAACCTGTGGACTCAGGCAATCCTCTCACCTCGGTCTCCCAAAGTGCTGGGATTATAGGTGTGAACCTCTGTGCCTGGCCTCCATATGAATTTCTGTATTGTCGTTTCCAGGTCTGAAAAGAATGATGTTGGTAACTTAATGGGTATTGCATTGACTCTCTAGATTGCCTTTGGTAGTATGGACATTTTAACAATGTTGATTCTTCCTATGCATGAGCATGGAATATTTTTCCATTTGTTTATGTCTTCTTGGATTTCTTGAGCAGTGTTCTTGAAACACTTTTTAGCCCTTTACCTACCAGATGGCACTTCAGGGAGTCACAGAAATGAGACCTTGGCAGCATCTATGAAACCAACTGGAAGGTTTCAATGTGATGGAGGCCTTCCATAGTTAGCTTTAAGAAATACTGGATAATCTTTCTTGATAAAAACCCTTAGCCAGGCTCGGTGGCTCAGCCTGTAATCCCAGTGCTTTGGGAGGCTGAAGTGAGTGGATTGCCTGAGCCCACGGGATCGAGACCCGCCCGGGCAACTTGCGAGACCTCATCTCTACAATAAATCAACAAAATTAGCCAGGATGGTAGCGCACGCCTATAGTTCAAGCTACTTGAAAGGCTAAGGTGGAAGGATTGCAGGAGCCTAGCAAGCCGAGGCTGCAGTGGTGGGAAGTATGCCACTGCTCTCCAGCATGGGTGACAGTAAGATTCCTACTCAGAAAAAAGAAAAAGAAATTAATATGGAAATATAAATGACCACGAATAGCCAAAACAATCCTTAGCAAAAGAAACAAAGCAGGCAGTATCACACTTCCAGACTTCAAACTTTACTATAAGGCTACAGTAATCAAAATAGCCTGGTATTGATACAAGAACAGGCACATAGACCAATGGAACAGGATAGAGATTCCAGAAACAAAGCCTCAATTTCTCAACCAACTCATCTTTGACAAATCCTCCAACAACAACCACTGGGGAGAGGAGAACCTATTCAGTAAATGATGCTGGGAAAACTGGCTGACCACATGCAGAAGATTGATCCCTACCTAACACCATACACAAAAATTAACTCTAAATAGATCAAAAATCTAAACGTGAAACCTTAAACTATAAGAATCTTAGAAAATGCAGGACACACCCTTATGGAAATTGGAACTGGCAACCAATTCCATTCAGAACCCTAAATGCCCACACCTTAAAAAAATACAATAGACAAGTGGGACCTCATTAAACTAACAAACTTCTGCAAAGCAAAAGAAACCATCAAGAGAGCAGGGAGACAGCCCACAGAATGGGAAAAAATATTTTCCAACTGTGTATCTGACAAGGGCCTAACATCCAGGATCCACAAGGAACTCAAACACTATGAAAGGAGAAAAACAGCCCCATTAAAAATGGGCAAGCCACCTTGGTAGTGAACCTGTAGTCCCAGCACTTTGGGAGGCTGAGGCAAGTGAATTGCTTGAGTCCATGGATTCGAAACCCACCGGGGCAACTTGGCAAGACCTCATCTCTACAATAAATCAAAAATTAGCTGGGCGTGGTAGCATGCACCTATAGTTTTGGCTACTTGGAAGGCTGAGGCAGAAGGATTGCTGGAGCCCAGCAGGTGGAGGCTGTGGTGGCTAGGAGCTTGCCACTGCACTCCACTCTGGGCAACAGAGTGAGACTCCAACTCAAAAAAAAAAAAGTGGGCAAAAGACATGAATAGACACTTCTCAAAAGAAGATATATGGGCAGCCAACAGACACATGAAGAAGTGCTCAAACTCACTCATCATCAGAGACATGCAAACAAAACCACATTGAGATACCACTTAACCCCAGTAAGAATGGCCATCATTAATAAAGCAGCCAAGAACAGATGCTGGCAAGGATGCGGGGAAAAAAAGGAACGCGTCTGCCCTGCTGGTGGGAATGCAAACTAGTGCAACCTCTTTGGAAGATGGTGTGGTGATTTCTGAAAGAACCAGAAATTGACCTTCCATAGGAACCAGCAATTCCCCTATTGGAAATATACCAGGAGAAATTAAAATCATTCTACAAAAAAAGATACCTGCACATGAATGTTTGTTGCAACTCTCTTCACAATAGCAAAAACACAGAACCAACTGTGTTGCCCATCGAAGCTGGACTGGATTAAAAAAATGTGGCACATATACACAATGGAATATTATGCAGCCATAAAGAGGGACAAATGTATGGGTTTATCACAGAAACAAAGAACAGAGTACCATATGTTCTCACTCATAAGCGGACCTTGGAACAATTATAATACTGTAAGAAAGGGATTGGCAGTAGTGGAAAACTGTCGGGGCGGGGGGAGCTGGGATTGGCAGTTGAGGGAAACTGCCAGGAGAAGGAGGGGCATACCTCATCAACAAGTGTACCTGCATAATCAACGTTTGCACACCTAACCCTGAATTGCACCCCACATCTTTATAATTTAAAAAATAAATACTGGATATTCAAAATGAAGTGCTTTGATAAGGATGGGAAGGGCAAATGCTGGACACTGCCAGGGGAGGGATGGGGGCATGTGGCAACACACTGGGTACCTGGTCCACTATCAGAGGGAGAAAGGGCCAGCTAGAAGCCCAAACTTCACCTGCATTCAACTTATTTATGTAGTAAATCCTTACTTGTACCCTGAAAACTCTGAAAGTAAAATTTAATTTAAAAAACAGAAACAAAATAAAGTACTTTATTATTATTTCCAGAGGGAACGGAAGTTCAAATGTTACAACAGAAACTTCTTGGTGGTAGTTATATTGATTGTTGTTGCCAGACAGCTTAGGGGGTTGATCGTTGCCATTTGATTACTTTTCTGGGTAGTATACTTTTTTCATTTGTGGGTTTTGTTACAAAATATTGTTTTAACAATAAGGCTGTTTGAGTGATCCTTCTTTGAAAAATGAGCTCACATAGAAATGAATGCCACTGTGGTCACTTTGGAAATAAATGTTGAGGTGTCTGACATGGATCATCACGGATGAGAGTGTGTGGGCTTCAGATTTTGCTAAATTTAATGAGCTTTCCAATCAAAGGCTGTGAATTGTATTTAAATTCATTGAACCTGGCAGCAAAATGTTGTTGCCTTTAGTTCGAGTTTGTAATTTTATTTATATGGATTAATTACAAGTTGTTTTAAAATTGTTTTATTACACATTATGTTTACAAAATTACATTGAAAATAAGGCACATGGGCAAAATGTTATTAAGCAGCTAATTTGGGTAAAGATTTGTGTGTATTTTTGTACTGCTTTAGTAGTTTTTTGTAAGTTTGAAACTATATAAAATTAAAAGTTACGTAAATTGCATTGACAACTTGATATTTCCTTTGTGGCTTATTTCACTATCCTATAAACATTCACTTGTACCCAATGCTGTGCTGAACACTATTTTCATTTAGCTTTTGTTATTATTTTGCTTGATAAATGGGAGAGTTTGAAGAATCTAAACCAAGACATTTGAGAGGATTTGTCTAGGAAGAATTATGTAATTGGTTATGGAATGGACCTGTAATAAGCATCTAGTTTTAAAATAGAGACATCATTAGATAATGGTTTGGGTTTTAAAAATGAGAAGTATTATTATGTGACTCTAAAAAGAAAGTAAACACAGGCAATACAGTCCTCTCCTTCAGTATCTAAGAGTTTCCTCATTTTATGTGTTCACACACACACACACACACACACACACACACACACACACACACACACACACACACAGCCTTAGCAAGGACTGGAACTTAGAGATGTGGCTCAAAAGATTCTTACTTGATAAATGTCTCTCTTGTTTTTTTTTTTTTTGAGTTAGAGTCTCTCACTGCCACCCAGGCAGGAGTGCAGTGGCACACTCATGACCACTTCAGCGTTGACCTGCTGGGCTCCAGCGAGCCTTTTGCCTCAGCCTTCCAAGTAGCTGGAACTACAGGCATGTGCTACTACACCTGACTAATTTTTTATTTTTATTGCAAAGATGAGGTCTCGCCAAGTTGCTTGGGCTGGTCTCGAACCCACAGGCTCAGGCAATCCACTCTTTTTGACTTCCCAAAGAGCTGGAATTACAGGCTGAACCACCGAGCCCAGCCTCATTTTCTTATAACTATTGCAGATCCTCCCCTCCCCTCCCCC